ATTGTCTGGAAAAGATATAAGATTCGCGAAGTGTTATTCTCAATGACAAGTGTATTTTGTTTATTTCATGATGAGCTTTTTTTCAAACTAACAAAAAGACCCAAAACAACAACAACCCAACAATTACAAAACAACAATCAGAAACAAACTATTAGCCAAAGTTTAATAAGAACATAATTAATGACAAACAATAACAAGCAGAACAGAAACAATTTTTAGATATGATGGAGAATCTAGGCATATCACCTGTATATCAAGTACTAACGGGTGAAAAATTCAAATTAAAAACCCATGGATGGCTTTCTAAGAAGTGAAGCTAGATGGAAAAAAACACTGATAATCATCTAATTAAGTCAAGGTTCCCCAAAGTGGTCAATGTCAACCCTCAAGGCTCAGTGGGACTATCCAAGGGATCGATGTTGTTACTCATACTGCTATTACAGTAGTTAAAGTAGTATTTATTAAATTATTTTCATATAATCAATGGGGGTCGATGAACAATCTGAAACTTCATGAAGGGGTCGATGAGCTGAAGAGGTGGGGGATCCTTGAATTAAGTTTTCAACCTGACCACGTTTTCCCCAATATTGCATGGACTGTACAATATCTGTTCTTCCCCCTCTAGATTTTGCCCCTTTTTTATTTGCTCGGGGAAATGAAAGAGTAGAAACACTAGTCACTGTGTTATTCTGCACATATATCAGAAACCACTGGAGCAGTCCCAGTCGGAGCCATTTTTGCACATCAACTGGGAGGACAGCTGTTTTTCAAAGCTCTTGCATGTGGGTTCTCCTCCCCGCTCCTGTGCTAAGACTAAGAGCAGGCAGGTACCTGCTTTAAAGTTTGCTTTTGAGTTTCAGTGGGTTTTAATCCCCCCTAAATGTTGGGGATTGGAGCTCCTAGTGTTGATGACTCCCTCTGAAAACCCAACTCTGATGGAGTTTCACAGGTGGTCCTGTTGTTCTGACAGAAGGGTAACGTATCTTCTTGAGGAATCTGCCGGTTGTAGAAGGGTGTGTGTAAGGCAGTGTGGTATGTCGCCTGCCTTAGGAGGGTTATATGCCAAATCAGTACACAAAACAAGGCTGGTTGTGCTTAAATGCATCTGTAGATAGAGCACATGCAGGGAATTGCAGGTTCAAGCTCTCACTTAAAAGAGCAGCGAGCAAGTGTTGGAAAGATGTTTCTCCATCTGAGACTTTAGACAACGCTGGCCTGGAGAGGCCAAAGTCTGATGTGAGATCACACGGCTTTCTGTCAGTGGGACTTGGGTCCATCTAATTTTCCACAGCAGCGTCCAGGAAGTTCTTAAGACAGCGTGACAACCAGAGTCCTTGGCTGTACTTTCTCCTCAGTGCAATGAACTCAGGGGTACCTTTATCATGCCAGAGACTCTGTCCTATGTTCTTCTCCCCAGAGGGGCCCAGGAGGTGGATACTTCAGAGAGGGCCTTTTTGGACCCTGGAGGTGGGATCTTCTCCCAAGAAACACAATTGGCTTCTTCCTTGCATTGGTTTAGACTGTAAGGACTGTTTTCTTTTACAGTAGATCTTGTAGGAAAGGAGCCAAATCTCTGAAGCAGTTTGGTAACCCTTTTTCCAACTAACACATTTCATCTATCTTTGGAAAGCTTATTTATTTATTTTTATTTATATTTCAAATTTGTCACTGCCCATCTTGTTGAAATGACTGGGTGATTTACAGCAGAGATAAAATCAATTAAAATACAATATAAAAACAATCTTAATAATAAATAAATTCCAGGAATGATGCCTTTTAATAACATTTGTTAGTCAGAAAGGGGCTATCAGATTCCTCCTGATTTTCATTTCACAGGCTTCAGATGCTCAGCAACAGTATGTGATTGATTCTGAACTTCATCGTCTCTTCCGCTTCCTCCTCCAGCTTTCCAAAACATATGGCCCAGTCTTCACGCTCCATTTCGGTCTAGAGAAGGTTGTGGTGCTGGTTGGCTACGAGGCTGTGAAAGAGGCACTCCTGAGCAAGGGAAATGAGTTTATCGATAGGCCTGTGATCCCCATATTCTCACGGATCCAGCATGGGAACGGTAACCGTACTTGGGAATAAGATACCTGATCTTTAGATTCCATCTTTCCAAAGATGCAGTTGGAGTAGGGGAGGTGGCAGAATTTGGGTGCTCTTCCTTTACATGTGTTCTTTTCTCGTACTTTGTTTTAAAAAAACATTCCTGGAAAGCAGAGAGAAGTGCTTGAGAGACCATGTTTGAGGAGCGCTCCAACTACCAGGCAGCTCACCATTGCTGCTGATCTGTCTTCTGTTCTCACCAGCCTTGAAGATGCATGCGTGCACACACACACACACACACACACACACATTTGGTCTTACCGTCAAGGCAAGGGAGACAGGAGAAGCTGGTCAGCCAAGATGCCTCTTGGACAGGAGGAGTTGGGCTGGAGATCACCCTGCATTAGCAGACAGTCTTTTAGTTGCCATTCCCCACTGTGGTGCATCAACAGAGGATACATCCATTCTTGGTTCCTTCTATTGGTGAAAGGTTCCTGCTGACCGATAGGCTTGAATTTTGAATGAATCAGCTTCATTCATATTTTTTTCTCTGCCCCAGGGAGCTAGGGAAGTGAGGGTGATCAGTTAGGAGACCTTTGAAGGAATTTTCTTCTGTGGGTTATGATCCTCCTTTGGTTCTGGGTCCAAATTGTGTTATGAATGAAGGGAATGTATTCCTCAGGTTTATTCTTCTCTGTTGGGGAACTGTGGAAGCATACCCGTCGATTCACCTTGACTACCGTACGGGATCTTGGGATGGGCACCTCACTGATCGAAGGAAAGATGCTCGAAGAGCTAAATTTCCTGGTTGAGAAGATCAGCTCCTTTGAAGGTGAGGCACTTCTTTTGCCCTTCATCCTGGTTTCTTCTGTGTCCATCATCTGTTCCTCTAATCGTCTTCTATTCCTTCTTTGTTTTTGTTTTTTTGTTTTTTTTTTAAGGTCGGCCTTTTTCATTGAAGACCTTTTCTGTAGCTCCAACAAATATCACCTTCATCATACTGTTTGGAAACAGGTTTGACTACTCTGACCCAACTTTCATTACTCTCTTAAGACTCATTGATGAAGTGATGGCTCTTCTGGGGGCTCCATCTTTACAAGTAAGATGGCCTCTCCTTTGCTTTTCACAGCAAAAAACATCTGGGGTTGGTTTTCAGTTGCTGGTGATTTTAGAAACAGTCTGGAGCAACCTCCATTCTGGCCACATTTGTGCCCATCCACTCTGCTCTTGTCCTGGAAACATCATTTTGCAGCAGTAAACCTAGAACAATCTTAAGTGAGAATATAGGTGTGGTAAAAAGGCAGTGGGGAGGAAGATGGTAGGATAACCAGAAAGAGTCAGATAACTTCATGAGAAACATAGGTTAAGATAGTGAAATGGAACCTCAGTGTTCATTAGCAGTTCATTTTCCAATACCAGATGATGGGGACCATCTGAAAGGTCATCAAGGTCACGTCCAAATGGGAAGCAACTTGGCGCATCTGGAAATAGCATGAGGAATTGAATAGTCTGGTCCGTCAAAACAAGACTTACGTTTTCATACCAGGCACCAGGTTCAGAACCACCACAATTCTCTTTGCCAAGGAATCAAGGAGCATCAGCTGCCTGCGATTGGCATTTTTCCCCCAATGGAAAAATTGGAACCATCTTTCCATGGAAGAGGAAAGCATGTTTTGGCCTGGAGCTAAAACAGGGGTAACCTTCCGCCTTTTGCTCTCCACGCGTGAGCGCGCTCCCAGTTCCTGCCAGTTGGTCCGTCGGTAGAATTGGGTTTGCTCTGGAAGTCTGCGCATTCCTCCCACGCAGATGCAATGGCACCGCCCCGCCTGATGTTTTTAAATGAAACCCAAATGTGGCAAAAAGGAACCTTTTTCGACTGGGGTGAAACTTGGGTCCTTTCCTTTGTGCCACAAGGCTCCAGACGGGAAAAATCTGCCTCCAGGGCTGAAATTCAAAGAGGTTGCCTGGTGCTCCTAGATTCTGATAGCAGACTCTTTCTCCAAGTCTGCCCCTGAGCCGTGCCAAGATGGCAGGGATCGTGAGGGGAGAGTCAAAAGGCGCCTCCCCCTACAGTATTGGGGTGCCTTATATTGACCTATAAAGCGGTCACATCTGGAATAATTTGCATACTTCTGGTTCCTGCATCAGAAACAGGATTGTGGATGGAGTAATAGGCAGGAAAGAGGAACCAAAATGAGGGGCTTGGAACAGCTCCCTGTTAGGAAAGTAGAAATGTTCAGGGCTTT